CATGGGGTTAGATCGTTGAGTCCTGTTCGAAGAGCAGGAAGCGAATTGCTGGCAGCAACAGTGAGCTACCCTGGTCTTCACAACTGTGCGACGAGTGATTCGCAGAAAGTTGGGATATTATCTCTTAATGCTCCACGCTGCCGCACCCCTCACTGCCACGTACAAGCAGCTAGCAGAATTAGCTTCTGCCGGTGGTTCCTCGAAAAGCCCGAGGGGTTTGAGGGGATAGTGATTGGGACTGATGGAAAGCTGGTCTGCTCAACACCATGCCCAAACAAACTAAAATGCGCAATATTGGCCACTACAAAACCCTGTCACTGAAATGGCCTGCCGAGCCAAGGATGACAATAAAGTTCAAGTGCTGGGCCGCCATTGCGAGGGCGGGGAAGATACAAGTGACGCCTTCTGCTTGAAGGCATAAAAAAGGCTAAAATGCGGACGTCCTAGTTAATCTCAAACCAGTCTGTCACCGGTGTGAGCTATCTGCAGCTGCTCTAAGAGCAGCGGTGACCAAAAATATGGGCAATGCTGTAGCTTGGCAATATCTAGCAAGAGCGAGCATCTGTGCACACGACACTTTCTACCCGCTCCTGGCTGGGCAGCAAGTTCGACATCCACCTCATTAGCTGACTGATGGACCAATTTTAGCCAGCTCGCAATCCTAACCCATTGGACCTTAGCTTCTGGCGTTATTCTGTGGCCCAGGCAGAAGTGCGGCGAGCCTCTCCGACTGCGATACAACAGCTGAGGCGCGCTGCGAATGAGCACACCGCTCTGGTAGATCGGAGCAGAGGTAGCCGCACCGTTCGGAGCCTCCACCGCCGCGCTGATGGATCGGAGCAGAGGTAGCCGCACCGTCCGGAGCCTCCACCGCCGCGCTGATGGATCGGAGCAGAGGTAGCCGCACCGTCCGGAGCCTCCACCGCCGCGCCGATGGATTGGAGCAGAGGTAGCCGCGCCGTCCGGAGCCTCCACCGCCGCGCTGATGGATCGGAGCAGAGGTAGCCGCACCGTCCGGAGCCTCCGTCGCCGCGCTGATGGATCGGAGCAGGGGTAGCCGCCCCGCCCGGAGCCTCCACCGCCGCGCTGATGGATCGGAGCAGGGGTAGCCGCGCCGTCCGGAGCCTCCATCGCCGCGCTGATGGATCGGAGCCGGGGAAACCGCGCCGTCCGGAGCCTCCACCGCCGCGCTGATGGATCGGAGCGAAGGTAGCCACGCTGTCCGGAGCCTCCACCGCCGAGCTGATGGATCGGAGCAGGGGTAGCCGCGCCGTCCGGAGCCTCCACCGCCGCGCTGATGGATCGGAGCAGGGGTAGCAGCGCCGTCCGGAGCCTCCGCTGCCTCGCTGATGGATCGGAGCAGAGGTAGCAGAGCCGCCCGGAGCCTCCGCCGCCGCGCTGATGGATCGGAGCAGAGGTAGCAGCGCCGTCCGGAGCCTCCGCTGCCTCGCTGATGGATCGGAGCAGAGGTAGCAGCGCCGTCCGGAGCCTCCATCGCCGCGCTGAGACGAGCGGGCGGCGGAACGGCATTGGTGGGGAAACTACGCGCGCCTCGCAGCACGGACGACGCCGAACATCCAAATGTCCTTAAGTTGGATTCGTTTCTGTTTGAGAAAAAAGTTCGACGTGGCACAGAACCACTTCTTCCTGCATTAAAAGGATAGGTTTAAGCGAAAAACCCTGCAGAGAGCAGAAAGATAACAATTTTGCCTGTGAGACTTCGAAGCATGTAATGTTCGAATTACCAACTGCATTCAGCCCGTAAATGTAAGGACGTGACGTTGCTCCGTCCCTGTAGAGACACTCACGGTGGCCGGCTTAACTGTGTGTCCGTCCCTGCAGGGACACTGACTGTGTGTCCATCCGCGCAAGGACACTGACGGCGGCCTTCTGACCTGCGTGTCCATCCCCGCAGGGACGCTGGCGGTGGCCTTCTGCCCTTTGTTTCCATTCCCGCAGGGACACTCACGGCGGCCTTCTGACCTGCGTGTCCATCCCCGCAGGGACGCTGGCGGTGGCCTTCTGCCCTTTGTTTCCATTCCCGCAGGGACACTCACGGTGACCTTCTGACCTGCGTGTCCATCCCCGCAGGGACGCTGGCGGTGGCCTTCTGCCCTTTGTTTCCATTCCCGCAGGGACACTCACGGTGACCTTCTGACCTGTGTGTCCATCCCTGCAGGGACGCTGACGGTGGCTGGTGAGCCTGTGGTGATGCCGGACATCACTGCCGTCGGTGGCGTGGTGCACGCCCTGGACGGAATCATCGGCTGGGGCCGGCCCTAACTGGCTCAGGATCGCCGCTGATCTGGTCTGGGACCGCCGCTGACCTCAGTGCACGTCACGTGAGCCGGGCCAAGCCAGCGCGATCGTTCCGGGACTAAGCACTGCGCCCCTCCCACCGCCACCGACGCAACACTCACCTAGCACCCGGTGAACCCTGAGTCCGGCAATCTCCAAAGTGTTTTCCGGATGCCGCGCGTTGAAACTAAGCACGAACGCGTGGACGTGAACACCTAATCGATATTGTGATGGTTTTTCCTGTAATGCCGGGAAAACAATGCCTTCCATGCCAGTGCCGATACGCAGCTGGCTCAAACCCAGGCATCCGCGTTCCACTAGCACAAACGTGTTGCGCAATGACCGACGGCAGCGGACTGTGTAGGATCAAGCAGCGTGCTCGCGCCTGTATTGTGTGAATGTCGCCGAGTTCCATTGACTTGTGCGCGGTCCACTGCTGAGAACGCTGGGGCAGCGGTGATCTGTTCCGCTTGTGAGCCGGGCGAGTGATGCATCACGGCACAGACATCCATCAGCCGCGTGCGACCCGGGCTGACAGCAGGCAGTCGTGCGGGCTCGGACCAATGGCAAGCGTGCGTGGGATGCCGGAAACAGCCCACCTCGAGCAGTGCATGGATTGTGCTGTTTAAGCTCTGGTTTTTCGAGATTGTTGAATATCTGATGGTGCCGTCCAAAACCAAACAAAACAAAACAAAAAAGACATGCAACTGAAAAGGACGTTGCGAAAAGAATGACATCATTTGTTCCTCATACCTCAGAGTTTATAGCATGAGGTCTATTTGGACCTGCTCACCCTGTTGATATATGCCAGTATGTCTTTCAATGATCGGTCTTGCTTCCTGGCAAGCCACAGGGTCCTATGCTGGTCATGCTTGCGTTTTGTTATGTAGTGCACGGATTATTCAATGTGAGATGTTGTCTGATGCAAGAGGTAACTCCACCGCGGCTTCATGGACGAATATAATGCTGTTTTTAAGGATCTTCTTTGCTGAGGTGTTGAAGACCGTTATCATGCTGAACATTTGCCACCAGGCCGATCGAACCAACGTAAAACACGTAATAAGGACGAATATGCGTGCTCAGGTGAATCAAAATGAAAACGAACACGCATACAGCAGGACATTTCACTCAGTCTTAACAACACTTACATGGCTGAAACGGGAACCGCTCCATTCCGCACTGTTTACTCTAGAATCTCGTTTGACCGAATGCGCGGGGTTTGCGTGTACCTCTTAGGAGCAGAAGATAACCGGGTGACGTCCCGCGCGCTACACGGTCATTTGCCGGGCGTCCGGTCGGCGCGCGCCACAGCTGCGCCGACCAGGGTACGAAACACCGACCATAATGACGGAACACGCTTCTCTGCCATGTGCCTGACATGGCTACAGGCACACCACATCTGTCAGGCCGGGAAGGGCTGCAGGTACACGGTATCTGTCGGCCCGAAATGACTGCACAGCATCCAGCGTAGCAGAGCAGCATCCGTCATGTCAGAAGTCGCAGTAGCCGGTGGCGTGAGCTGGCATGGTGGCGGGTACCGGAGCGTGGAAGGCGGTGATAGCGAGCGCCAACTGCAACTGCTTGGAGCACAGCGCATGACTGGCGAGGCTGATCATGGCCATGGACTAGCAAGACTGATTACGGCGCTGGACTGGCGAGGCTTATCACGGCGCTGGACTGACGAGGCTGATCACGGCGCTGGACTGACGAGACTGATCACGGCGCTGGACTGACGAGGCTGATCACGGCGCTGGACTGACGAGGCTGATCACGGTGCTGAGCTGACGAGGCTGATCATGGCGCTGGGCTGACGAGGCTGATCACGGCGCTGGATTGGCGGCGAGGCTGATCACGACCCTGGACTGCGGTTTCACCTGCTGGCCTCGTGTGACTGGAACCCAGTATTGTCCAGGAGAGTCTAGCCGGTCGTGAGACATGGCTCTGCGCCGCATGAGCTGCCTGGCCAGGGCTCGTACCCTGCTGGGCCGGCGGGCGGCCGAGATGGGGCAGAAGGGCAGGGCTCGTACCCTGCCCGGTCGGTGGGCGGCCGAGATGGGGCAGAAGGGCAGGGCTTGCACCCTGCCCGGTCGGTGGGCGGCCGAGATGGGGCAGAAGGGCGGGGCTGGTACCCTGCCCGGTCGGTGGGCGGCCGAGATGGGGCAGAAGGGCAGGGCTTGTACCCTGCCCGGTCGGTGGGCGGCCGAGATGGGGCAGAAGGGCAGGGCTTGTACCCTGCCCGGTCGGTGGGCGGTTAAGATGAGGCAGAGGGGCGGGACCCGCGCGCCGCCCGGCTGGCTGACATCGCCAGCATGTCGGACAAGACTGCTAGTAAAACCCAATCGACCTCCCCGAGCCATCAGCCAGCTCGCCTCTCGGCTCGATCAGCTCACCTCCCAGCGTCAGCCAGCTCGTCTCCCGGCTCGATCAACTCACCTCCTGGAGTTAGCCAGCTCGCCTCCCTGGTCACTTCTCACGGCGTGATCCGCGTTCACTGGCTATGTGGCGTCACACGTCGTAACCATAAGAATGAAATATGATGCGGGCCGCTGAGGTTAATAACCTGTCTTTTGGACTTGGATACATGTTGTCGGGCACACTTAACAATGAGTTAGAGAGCAGTCGTGTCATTTTACCCTCGGCATATCAGCAAAAGTATTTTTATTTCATTCATCGGCACATTTGAGGTAGCAAACCAACAGCTCCGACTGCTCCGTCGTCACGCTGCGTGTAACAAAATGTTAGCCTCAGCTTCGTCCGCAACAATTAATGCAGAAACTTCATGAGTCATGTATTTTCCAGCGCCCACCAAGGTGTATACTGGAAGCGCACTGTCATACACCAGCTTGCTTTGTCGTCCAAGACAGCAAGGCAAACCCAGTGGATACCAGCGGCAGGGACGTCCCAGGGTGGAGAAAGAACAAATGATCCCGGCGTAGGCAACATAGTATTAAATACAAAAACTGAGTTTCCAACATGGTAAACTGCAAATAGTTTACCTGGTCTCCTGTGGTTATGACATGGGTATGCAACTGCGAATAAACAGTTGTAACGACGCCTATGCGATAAATGCGGCACACATAACTAGCAGCTCTATGGCGGGGTGGCAAACCGAAAACGCTGCAGCAGCGTCAGCAATACTCGCCGGGGTATAAACCACACTCACACGCGACTATCATGGGCTCATGGCACACGAGTGATTAAACACTGCCGCTTAGCAGGTAACCTCACAGCCACAGGTGAAAATCGGAACGGCTTCTGGTTCTGGTTAGTACACGCTGCAAGATGAACCTCACCGAACTGCTCGGTGAAGAGCCTGTCAGTGACACGATACGAGACATCCTGTTGATTTCACCAGTCTTTGACAGGACACCTCCATCGTGGAACAGCAAAAAATCCCCCACTACTCTAAAAGCACTTCATTTCGGTTCTGTACTTTTCTTGCAGATAGACCCGTCATGACTGCCAAGCAAAAGCTGCCGGCCACCAAACGCTCGCTTCCCTCATACCGCCGTGCTCCAATGCGTGAGCCGGACCACGTCACTGGCCACGTCTCAGGTCACGTCCTCGGCCACGTCATCGATATAAACCACAAGGCCGCGCCACAGGTGAAGTCTCAGTCTAGCTGGCGACGGACGCCGGAGTCCGTCCCCTGTCGACTCTCTCAGGGCAAGCCGTCGCCGTCGATCCTGTTTGCGGCGCGCTGCTCGTGCGCGGCGGAGGCCACCGTGTACAGTGCCACGGCCAGCGCCAGCGCCAGTGCCGCCTGCGCCGCCAGGTGCTCGATCAACACCGAACCCGGCTCGGTGTGCAGCTGGTACGTGCTGTGCAGCAGGAGGTAGACGGCGGCGGCTGCCTTCAGGGCACACCACACGCTGGCCGCCACCGTGCCGGCTGGCCAACCGCGCTGCAGGCTTAGCAGCAGCAGCAGCTGCAGCGCCAGGTCCGCCGCCGCCAGCGTGACGGTAGCGACATCTGTGGCCGTCTGTGGCGAGCAGGCGGCGCTGCAGTCGGCGCCGTGTCGCAGCAGGCTGTGCACACCGCACGCGAGGACGGCCGCCGCGCCCACCTGCCGCATCGGATCAAGTCAAGTCAGCTCAGGTCATCCGTCAGCTGTAAGGTAAGGCCTGTCCCCGTGTCGCATCACAGCGAGTTGGTGTCGAGCAATGGTGGGGTGATGCTCTGTTGCTCTGCGAGTTGGTGTCGAGGTGATGCTCTGACACGTTTTGAGCATGATGGCAGGTATTCCGGCGGAGCGGTGAACCCAAGGGATTGAGAAACACGTATGCCCATGGACTTCGGCGAACCGCCCCAGTCAGTACACACACACATTGATGAGCGACCACACAGAGACGAAGGCCTGAACTGTAGGTCGCATCGGACGCGCCTGCCGTGACCGCCAATGACCCACGGCGCGACGGCCAACACAAACGGTACTGGAAGGTGATACGACTGTGTGCTGAAGCCACCGACGCCGCCAGCCGCACCGACAGGCGGTGGGTGGCTGGCGGCCCCCGCGACCGCAGGGTCTGACGTCACGGGCAGGGCCCCTCTGACACACACACACACACACACACACACACACACACACACACACACACACACACACACACACACACACACACACACACACACACACACACACACACACACACACACACACACACACACACACACACACACACACACACACACACACACACACACACACACACACACACACACACACACACACACACACACACACACACACACACACACACAACACACACACACACACACACACACACACACACACACACAACACACACACACACACACACACACACACACACACACACACACACACGAACGGGCGCGGCGGCTGGCTCTGCCCAGTCATGGGACGTCCCGCCATGTCTGTGTTCGGGACCCAGGCAGCACGGGACGCCCGTCAGCCCGCGTGACACGGAAACCGGGCGAGAGACGGCATGACACGGACAGATGGACCAGAGAGGGCGTGAAACGGACAGCCGGACCAGAGACGGCGTGACGGCGTAACACGGACAGCCGGACCAGAGACGGCGTGACACGGACAGCCGGACCAGAGACGGCGTGACACAAAGAGCCGGACCAGAGACGGCGTGACACGGACAGCCGGACCAGAGATAGTGTGACACGGACAGCCGGACCAGAGACAATAATCAATTCGCCATCTTCGTCATTGGGGCTTTATGATGCACTCAGCTGCAGAGGCTATATGGCGTCACCTGCCTCTCACCGTGGCAGGAAGGGCGGGCCCGCGGGGAATCGAAGCCCATACCTCTGGTTTCCCCACTGTCAGCTCGCCAGTTCAGCCCGTTATCGTTAGTTTTGCTTTCGCCAGCCAGTTCGTATCACATCGACGACGCAGCACAGACGGGTGCAGATCACAAAACAAAGACCATGGGAGCGCGCTGTCACGCGTGCAAGCTCTATAACTCCGACGCGACGGCGCCCTGGACTATGGGCGCCTAACTGCGCAACTGCAGACTGAGGGCCGAGTGCTGCAGCACATCGTGACACGCGGCAGCCACACCGCGACCCAACCCCCTCCAGCGGCAAACGCCGCCAGCCACTCACCAGCAGCAGGGTCCCCACGCTCTGGCCCGCCTTCTTCCACACGCTCGGGTACTGGAAACCCTCCACAGCCTTGAAGCCGGTGTAGCTGGCTGAGGAGGCAGTGGTGCGGCGTCTCTCACGCATGGTACGGCGCGCGTGCGTCCTCCGGCGCTGCTGACCATCACTGGCGGGGCAGGGCGAGCCGGGCCGGCACGCGCGCCGTCCCCGCCCCGCCTCCCATGTGCAGCCCTCGCCAGCAGCGTGCAGCGCCGGGCCCGCGCCATAACGCGGCGCGGCCAGCGCCGTCCGGCCGGTGATCGTGACGGAGTTATGATGCGGGTCGGTGGCAGCCTTGGTAGCGAGGCTTGCTGGCTGTTTATATGCAGGCTGGAGGAGAGCCAGTCAGTGACATAACGCGGACCACTGCACCCAGCTGGCCGAACCGGATGGCAGCAGGTCACGTGATCAGACCAGGACGCCGTTCAGCGCCGGCGGCCCAGTCATGTGATTGATTGGTCCCGGTCGGTCGCTGGCCGGACGGTCGAGTCATTGCCGTCCAGTTAAGTCACGTGACTGCCGTCCCGACCGTCCGGTCGGCGCGAGCGCCGCTCGTTCAATCACAGCCGGGAGAGTGGGGACATTGGCAGACGGCTGCCGGCGAGGAGCCCGCCAGCTGCGCCGCAGAACCGCTCCGACCGGCTGGGGCTGACACATCTGTCGGACAATGTCGTAAACATTTGCATGTCAAACATGCAGACCACAGCGTCGAGGCATGGAGGTCGGGACGACCTGTGTGGCAGCGCGAGCAGCAAAATATTTTTGCATACTCGCGGCTCGCAGACTGGGCGTTCCCATGCAAGTGAAATCAACCACAAGGGTCTATTCGCGGGATGCATCATGCAAACCATTACCACGTGCCATGGAGCCTGCCGGGACACCACGGCCAGAGTTCATCCTTGTTGACGGCTACGGATAGCTGGCAGGCACTGGCGGGGGCGGAGGTGACGAACTCTTCTGGCGCGCCCCAGTCGGCGACAGATGCCGCCGCAACAGGGGCCTACCGCCTCCAGTCACGCTATGATGGTCCGTGGCTTCTCACTGAGTAGAATGGCCACCCTTGTGCCGTCCCATGACCCGCCCAGAGCTGGCCCGGTCCGGGCGAGCCGACCGCAGTCGCTGATGAGCTCACCAGCTCCTCTCTTCTCAGCTCTGTCCGTGGCGCACCACGCCGCCCTCACACGCCTGGTGCCAGCATTTTCCCGGTCTTCCACCCAACGCTCTATACGCAGGTGAGCCGGCCCACGCATACTCATCTCGCGTCCTGACACGCGGCGTGTTGTGCGTGCTATTCGTGCGTGTTACTGCGCGTCCTGTTTTCGCCAGGGCCGTTTACCGTGCGCGGGACGGAGGGTCAGCTCAGGTCATTACAGCTGTTTGGTCCAGGTCGCACGCAGGAAATCTCGGACACGTGCATATCTGTGGAGATCTGGCCCGAGGAGGATAACGGTCCTCATCTGAGGCCACCGCCTCCCACACCTGAGGCGCTTATCGCATGCGCGCGCAAACGCCTCAGTGAAAGCGAAAGGAAGCGACGCCGTGGCATCTGTTAGCGTAACCCCCGATGAGACGACCTGCTGCGTTTTGAGCAGGTTATGGCCACGGAGCGTGGGCAACCCGAGTCGCGCAGCATAATGGGGCACGCATGCGCGCGGGCCTACGCGCGGGTAGAGAGGGGGACTGAGGCTCCAAGGCTGACGTGCGCGGCGACACATCACGTCCTTCTCTTTCACAACGACGACAGCCTGGCGTCTGGTCTGCACACCAAGTGGGCTTGGGACGGCGGCGGGCAGCGCGACAGACGATAGCCAATGAGATCCGAGACCGATAGAGGTGGCACGCGAGACGGGCCCCGGGAGACAGCGGTCACCCGAGCACAGAGACCGGCATGGGAGGCCGGCCGGGAGATAGCCGCCGCCAGGGTACGGAGACTGACATGGGAGGCCAGCCGGGAGATAGCCACCGCCAGGGTACGGAGACTGACATGGGAGGCCAGCCGGGAGATAGCCACCGCCAGGGTACGGAGACTGACATGGGAGGCCGGCCGGGAGATAGCCGCCGCCAAGGTACGGAGACTGACATGGGAGGCCAGCCGGGAGATAGCCACCGCCAGGGTACGGAGACTGACATGGGAGGCCAGCCGGGAGATAGCCACCGCCAGGGTACGGAGACTGACATGGGAGGCCAGCCGGGAGATAGCCACCGCCAGGGTACGGAGACTGACATGGGAGGCCAGCCGGGAGATAGCCACCGCCAGGGTACGAAGACTGACATGGGAGGCCGGCTGGGAGAGCAGAGGCGCGCAGGTAGTATAATATATATTAATATATGTGATAAAGTAATACAATAAGGCACGCCGTATTACACCATGACAGGTTCTTAATGCAATGTAGGATTCATAAAGCATTGCTCAGCCCCAGGTGTAATACTAAGAGCTGAAGTTCAAAAGATGACGTACGGAATCACAGCACTACCACAAATCTGCCGCCAAACCTGGACCGAAGACAATACGTGAGCACTGCTTCCTGCTAAGCTTCCTGCCCGATCAATGAATCCTCGCTATAACCACGGTCGGGCTCAGCGCAAGCCTGGTGGTAGGATATAGCGCAAGCCTGGTGGTCGGATACAGCGCAAACCTGGTGGTAGGATACAGTGCAAATCTGATGGTCGGATACAGCGCGAGCCTGGTGTTTTCTCGGACGAATGTCTCAACCTGTCAAAAACAATGTGTTTTTGCGCGGACGGGAAGGGTAATTTATTGAACTCGTTCAGAGAAGCCTTCATTACAACTTGCCGTCCTGATGATTTATGACCGCACGACGTAGGAGGTTTGCGGTGTGGTGGAGGCTAAGGCGGCTTCCCGCTGACTTTGAAGTCACCTGTGTCTAAATAATTCCTTGAGTGTCAACTAAGAGGATGTTAAATATAATTTGCTGCCTTAAGCCTGAAGCAATTCGAGGTAGCCCTGTCCAGCTAAAAATAAAGAGTCACGGAATGCCCAACCGGGGCTGACGTCAGCACAGCAGTTGTCTTCGAGCAGCTATCCGCACTCAATATCCACAGCAAAGCAAGGTGAAAATGAAACAAAACAGACATCACGACCATCGCAATGGTACGAACTATGATGCATGCCCCTGGTAAGCGAATCAATGCCAGGTTCCATGTTTTACGTGACCTTGACAAGCAACCTTGCTAGCATGACAGTACATTTCACGAGTATCACCATGCCATCCATTTTGTTGTATTTATTCGACGCAGGAATAGCTGGCAGAGGACTGCGGTTTGCATGACATTGGCCTTCATGAGGGCAGACACCACGAACGCCAATATGATACCCTTTTGATGCAGTTGTTTCGTAAACGAAGGAATGCCGGAGCACGCCGGCTCAGGTGACTTTGCTCTTCGACTTCGTGTTTCTGGTGACTGCTCTTCGACTTCGTGTTTTTCGTGTGACGAAAACGGAGATCACTAACATAAACATGACACCGATTTTGTCGTTTGATAATTGAAGAAGAACCAAGGCACCCGCATTCTGTGACCTTGATTATTGTCAAGTGAGTTTTTGCATGTGACAATAGTGGGCATCACATGCCATACCGCATACCAGTATGATACCATTTTTGTTGGATTTCTTTCGTAAACGAATAAGTGCCAGGGAACTCCAATTTTGACCTTTCAGTGGGTTCCAAAGACCACAAGTGACGTTGGGTTAAGGATGGCATGTTTGTGAATAACCCGATAAGGTTGATCCATGGGAGAAATCTGGTGAAGACTTGAACTTGACGCTGAATTAGTGGGAACACATCGCTAGCTTGGCGCACTCAAGTGCCAGGCATGAAACAACCCCTCCCGCACTGTCAGATCGCAAAAATTCAACGAGAGCTGGACAAGCTGAAAACAAAAGTCATGCTACAGAATGCCTCAACGTATTGTATTCGAGCTACTCTATTCACACAAATATGCACTGCGACTCTGATGCATTATTAATGGGGACAGGAAGGCACAGCGATGTCTTCCTGATTCAGACCGAGCAGCTTACACAAGGCTCCGCGCTTGTGGGGCGGATGACTTGAGGTGCTGCCGGTGGCCGGCACGTCTCTGTGGCATCCGTCATGAGACGACATACTATGTGGAACGCCTGATACGCGCACCCAGCTAGCCAAACGGATCCACCAACCACGCGACGGGTGACACTGATGACGTCACAGCCATGCAAGCCGCCACACATCATTACAACATGACCCAATGGTCGCTGTTCACACGACGATAAGCAGCATGTGACGTTCTGACAGGAATGTGTGCACTCAGCGGCGAGGGGTTCAAACACCACATTCCATCCCGTTCCGAATCCCTGTGCCTGCCACATGTGCTGCTACCGTTTACCCTGACCCTTGGCACTGTCCTTAGCACCGGGATGAGGCTGTGACGATGACGTGATGTCGGACTCCTGCTCCCGCGGGGCGGGCTCGGCCGGGGCGGGCTCGGCCGGAGCGGGCTCGGCCGGAGCAGACTCGGCCGGAGCGGGCTCGGCCGGAGCAGACTCGGCCGGAGCGGGCTCGGCCGGGGCGGGCTCGGCCGGAGCGGGCTCGGCCGGAGCAGACTCGGCGACGGACTCCTCCCGTGGCGGCTTCTCTACAGCGAAACCGGCGCTGGACTTCTGCTTCGCTGGCGGTCTCTTTGGATCCGGCTGCAGACAGGACTTGAGGGCGCGCTGAGCGGACTCTGCTGGGGCGACCTCGGCGCTGGTTCTGACCAGCGGCGGCTCCGCTGCAGCGGGCCCGGCCGGTGTCGCATCCTGCTCCTCTTCTGCCTGCTTTTTCCGCAGGAACACGCGTTGCATCGCCAGCTTCTTGTCAGAAAAGCACAGCTTGGACCACGTCTTGCCACCTTCGCCGTCGGAGTCTTCCACAAGGAAGAGAGCGGATCCGATCTGGTCCTCGTACCGGCCGAGGAAAGTGTATTTACCAAGCTGCAGCACTGGCTGCTCCTTGTCGATCCCGACAAACTGATACGTGCAGCCTGTCTTCAGCAAGTCGTCATCGACCAGCCCGTTCAGCTCCGCCAACACAACCATCTCCTCCTCCTCAAACTCCTCTGTGCTGCCCATCGGCAATCAGAGTGGCTGATACAGTAACTGAAAAGTAGATGAAAAAACTGTTAAGACAGGGAAAAAGTGTGCTGTCACAATACGCTTTTTCACAGCCGTTTCAACTCAACTTCACAAAAACAGTCTTTCCCATCTTGTCACCTTAATAACACCACTTTTAAACATAAAAGAGAATGCTGCGCACGTTGTCATGCACTTTTATGCGCCAGTGACTGCAAAGGCCATAGAAGGCACTTAGTGGCCAAGGCGCCGCCGAGGTTCTCAATAAGAACCAAACAACTTCTTGAGCCTGCAATGTGCACATAGCTGAATACCCAAAAAATGCTCATCATTTTCAAGGTCAATTTACACCTGATGACAGCCAAAAAACTAGCCACCTGGAACTGTGTGTGCCTACTTACAGGCAAAACAAGGGTCATGATCCAAGAGTTACTCAATCCATGACAATAACATTTTGCCTCAATCACCCTGCAAGGCTTAGATGATATTCTCTGATCCCATAAGCTTTAACACACATGACAATGGTTTTGGCTCTACAAAAAAATGTTCCAACTGATTCAACTCTGGCTTTGGCCCAGTCCCCTTAAACTGACTCAGCTGGTAAACTTTGGGTTTGGGTTTCCAAACTTTGGAGCTAGTGACTTCAGATTCACCTGCTCAAAACCTTAAGCTGCCACTGGCTTCCAATTTGGACAAGTTTTTAAAAATGTAAGACCTTCCTTGATTTTGTGGCTCCAAACTTCAAGTCACTGGTTTATGTTGTGACTGACTCAGGCTCCATCAGACTCAGTTTCAAAGATAAAAACCCTAATTTACCTCTATGTCTGGTCATTGAATATGGTGGCTTTTACACTTTAAATGCACTTTGCCTGGACACAGGTTCTATTCTGTATTTCAGTAACTATAAAACAGATACCAGAAGAGTGGTTTTAAGGATTGGAGTGCATGCAACTTGTTTCCATGCAAACTTTGGGTTCCAACACATGCTAAGCAATGCTTGCCACATGTACCAAGTACTTATCACCAAGCATAACCTGATCCAGTATATCCAGTGATTTTATATCCAGACTTCCGTGCCACATAGACCAAGGGAGATCTGTTTTTACATGTCATACAGCATCACAACACAACAAGTAAGTAAAACCCCTGTGAGTTACCAGCTGATCTCTCCAGGTCACTTCCATCACCTCACACCATATTTATTATGAATTTTCTATGTTTTGGCAGAAAATCCTGTTTATATTACAAAGAACAACATAAGTTATATTATTTTACAATAAAAATATAACATTTACAATCATAACAGCACACAATATTCCTGAACATTAAAAGCACAATACAGATGCATCAAAGCCACCAGTATCTCGATCAGAACTCCTGGTAGCAACATGCAGAAGATGCGATTGTACTAGGTAGCATTGCTATATAAGGTGGGGATTACCTCTACCACTGCTACATCCCCTTTCTCATCACCCAGCAGCAGTATTCTGAGGTCTCCAACAAGCATGCAGTTTTGCAAACGGGCTTGAAGGAAAGGTGTACCCAAGCACAGCACATTGTTCAACACACCCACAAAATAAAAGTGATACTTATGTGGATATGACAAACATTTTTGGATAGGGAAGTTTGCAACATACTTCATATGCAAGAAAAACTACATATACCTCTGACCCCAAATCAATTACATGCTCCCTAGTTTCAGAGCGTGCAGCAGGTATGAATGTAGAATACATTGAAATGGTGGAGCTTTTCAAATTTATTATCAACCAGCTAGTGCATGGCATTCAAGGTCAGCCACTACCAAGAAATGATCCTAAATGCAAGTTGTGTTCCTGCATGCACAATGAAGATTCATTGCTGAGATTTTGTTCTCATCCAAAGCCAGATTAGAATGTTCGTAGGTCAGGGTGTACTTTCCTCCCTAACGTTAGAAAAAATAATTGTACACCATTCGTTGTGTTCAAGGCAGGACATATCGCAAATAATCACAAAACAGGTAGATTCATGCTCTTACCTTCAGATTGTTTATAATTACGATGGCGAGCTCCCGAGCACCGCATACACAGCAGCCGCGACGCCGGCGCCACATATTGTATTTACGCAACGGCAACGCAGAAACGGCGCTGGGGAGTCCAGGCGGTGCGGTGCGCGCGGCGCTTGGGACCTCGCGATCGTAGTTATTGAAATTCGAAGGTAGGAGCATGATTCTACCTGTTTTGAGATTATTTACGATATGTGCCGCCTTAAACACGACGAATGGTGTGCAAGGATGTTTTCCAACCTTAGGTAGGAAAGTACACCTACACCTGCTCGTGCTCGTATTCTCCAAGAGTGAAAGCAAAATTTTGGGCACGGCCCCCACCGTCACATCCCCCTACCTCGGTTGAACGCTCCATACATTCGACTTGCTAACTATTGAAATCACCGCGCCGCATTAGCTATCAGACCAGTGAGGTTTAAGATGGAAGCACTTGCAATTTTAAGTAGGCCTTGTTTGATCAAATTACGTCAGTCAGGACCTGGGAATATTTCATAATGCAGGTAACAGTAGCTCAAGAAGGATATTCAACACAAATATTGTAAAAATGGCAAAATTTTATGCTTTACTTAACTTTTTAGCAACCCTAACTGTTACCCTTTGGTGAATCTCAACTATCCACCGGATAATCTAAGTGACGTCATATCACGGCCAGCTTTCTAACCAAGGATATAAACTAAACAAATTTTAAGACATCCTTTGAGCTACAGCAAATGAGCTAAGCGAGGGATAAGATCGACCACATACCCTCGTAAACACCTAATAGCTTTGGGTTGGTATTTGCCGCTTGTTGAACCGTTCAAATATTTGAAATGAATTAGCCCAAACGTGTTACGCTAATGCCATTCGAACCGTTCTAGCCTAGATTCATCTAAAATTGGTATCCTTTGAACCAGGTTACGAAATTGGACGGAAAACGCGATTGGTCCCGCAGTCGCCATTTTGAAGACAATTGGTTCTTGTGGCTCAATAAATCTGCTAGGAGCTGCGTAAGTCTTTCCCCGTTTTAGAACAAATCAAAAAATTATAGTAGTTTGATCATTCGAAGCCCTGTTTGATTCAACCTCGCTCTTTTATTCTGTTGTGGTTCTGATATCGCGTACTTGATAACGATCGCCGTCGCCCTTCGTAGTGTTGGGCGTTCTTTTCTCAGAATGCATTAACAAGGTGAGCTTATTTCTTTCATGCAACATTCTTCTGGAAGTTTCACAGGTTGCACTATGTATGAACAGTACGCACATGTCATCATTTGGCCTTGGATTGCTACTTTTGACCTGCTTGTTTAGTTGCACTTTTGTTATGTCTAGGGTCTGTTAGTGATTTACTTAATTCAGGTGTCATGGTCTGCTCAGTGCCTGCTTGATTGGTGGTCATGTGGCAGTTTGCCATTGCTCATTTTTGAATGGTCTTGAAAAGATCTGGACCATGTGAAGCCAACCAGTCTTGCAAAAAGGCAGAATTGGTTTGTCTTGGTTCAGGTTCATCCCATCAGTAGTGCCATACCAGTGCATGCACACTAAAGTTGAGGTCATTGAGTCCACTGCATGTTTATCACCAATTTTTGCACTGAGAGAGCCAATGTTTCAAAGGAATTTGCTGCTTTGTGTGTTGTGAGTGTGCATGGGAGCACTTTAGTCAAGAATGCTCCCAATGCATTTGTTTTCTGGCAATTGAAAAAAATTACACAATCCTGCCTGGACTCTGCTCAAGCTTGCTACAGGTTCAGGACATGGACATCACACTAGCATCAGGTGCATTATGTAATTTCTTACACTCAGTTATAATGTGCTGCCATGCAATGGTTGGGTTTTATTTCCAACCTGTATGTAGCAAAGTTAGTGCACACAAGGTATGCTAGGACATTGAAAAATGGTAGCTTAGGATTAAGCCTGGCCATTTTGCCACAGCACAATTTTAGAGTTGACAACAGATGTGATGTGTTTTGTCTTTCCATTATTTATCCAGTCTGTTCTTGAACCTATTTATGGTGTCAACAGTGTTCATTGAAAACTGTTGCTGCATTACTACATGTCTTAAGACCTAGCTTAGATCATCCTTTGGGTTCTGCCATCATGTGGATACTTTCACTGTATATATTTCCACCAGGACTAAAATTTGTATGTTGTACTTTTCCTACAGGGCTGAAGTGGAAGTTCACATGAGCAACTGATCTTGCCATGGGCCCTTAGGAAATAAAATAACTTGGTTCTGCTATTGTGAAATGTATCTGTTTTCCCAAGGATAGGATTTAGATGGCTTTTGATGGGTGCCCATTTTTCATGGTAATCTTTTGTAAGACATAAGTTATGGAGGAGCTTTAGCTGATACAGGTCAACTACTTGACTTAAAACAGTTGTACACTTGATCAGTGTTGACTAGTCTTCCTAACTTTTCATGGTTATTTTCCCCAGAGCATAGGTCTGATGAGTTTTCCCTTAAGCAGACAATAATACTCGATTAACAAAGCCCATGCTCATTCTTACCTCTTTTTGTAAACATAATCATACAAGTGGCTGGAAGGTCTCAGAGATGTGTGTTACATAGCAGATATACTAAGACAGCATGAGCACATTCAGATGGTTGAACTATATTAAGACAGCATAAGCACATTGAGATGGTTGAACAGGGTGGGAAATTTGTTTTTTTTTGCTGGTGGCGGAGTACAAACATTTTTGTGGTCGGAATACAGACTTGCCTGCGGGCAAAGGTCTGTCTAATGTGGAGTGAGTGTCTGCACAATGGGGCCTTGCTTGGAGTACATTGCATGCTGCCTTTAATGGGTCAACATTTTCCCAATGTTTTTCTGGCAAAAATTAGTGTCAGTATGCAATTTTGCATTTAAGTGGAATAGAGCACTTCTTGTGAGTGAGGGCGCCACACTGATCTCATCCATATCCCTGTAGTGCTACTAGCTCACCTATACATGCAAAGATTGATTGATGGCACATGTTAATAAAAAATATACAGATAGAGAGGTTAACAACAAAACTATACACATGCATTCACAGGTGCATCATACAAAGCTCAGTTACACATCATTACCCATCTACATGCAAACTTACACAATATCAAAATGATAAATCAGGTGCATCCTCTGCTTACTGACAAACTGAATTGTGGACAACCACTGTGTATCACACCCTGGTTTCTTAATGAGTCTTAGGCAGATGCAACTGACTAAGAAAGCCTTATGTATGTGACATCACTAACATGTAGTCCTTTTGGCCTTTACATAATTAATATAAACATACCAAAAGTGTTCCTCTTCCTATTTTTCTCTTTCTGCTCTTCTCCTCTTTCAGTTTCTCACCTTCTCTTTCTGTCACTCTTTTCTTTCCACTCCTCCTTCACTTCTGCTCCTCCTCTCTTCCTGCACCTCCTGTTATCCCTCTCCTCTTCTCCAAGTTCCCTATGATCCTATGCAGGGAAAATTATAATAGTGTCACTGCAGGGCCTTATGCCTGACAGCAAAGAACATGGCAGCATTGCCACCTGTCAGGTTACATCAATTATAACCACAGGCTGAAAAGAGGCCAGCCTCATATTTGATCCCACATGGGAAATGCAAGCCTAGCATTAATGTTGTATATAGATACCTTGGTACCTACACACCTACCCACCATGCTGTAGGTGGAGCAGTTTATAACAAGGTGATCCTGCACCGGCCTGCAGTGGTAAACATTTATAGATCAGTCCCCCGGTATTTATTTACCTTTTTTGGAATGACTTGATAGCGGTCCAAAACTAAATCCCAAGTAACTTCAGAAGTGTGGATGCATGCTGCGTGAAAATTGAAGACAACCAATTCCACTTTGCCTCGCTGAAAACCTCAAACTCGCAACTACGATGCGCATAATCCCAATCAGCTTCGGTCACCCTCCGGGCCCCTCACCCCCACCACATCAAGACAAACAAACAAGCCAGGCACAGGAGTTCTGGCGCACTCACAGACATTGTGATGGCATTCTGGCACTCATCAATGGTCCAACCAAGTACAAGTACCATGGGTTGGTCCTGAAATGACAGGCTGTGATGAATAGTCTAAGAAAAGCTGTTTATGCAGTTGCACCAACACAAATTGTGAAGTTTGTGGTAGAGGATTCATAGAGCTTTACAGCCATGCCTTTCAAGTTGCTATTTTCCACCTACAAATATATCTTACCTTCTGGTGGTGCAAGACAATGTCGAGATAATGCAGTACCTATACTACAAATTGATATTTCTCATTCTAAGGCATATCATGTCATTTCAACACCCTCTGAGGAAGGTCCGTGTCTGGACAATACCAAAACACAAATTTTTCAATTAAATTTGGCTAACTTCGCTAAAAACTTGCTGTGTTCCATCTTGTACTCCAGCTTGTTCTCCCCGGGTCTCCCCATAGGCCCCATTGTGAGAAGAGCAACTAAGTACTGCGATTTTTTCCCACCGGGTTATGGACCATCTCTATCTCACAAGTATAGGCACTGGTTGAGCCTGGAGACATGATACCGTTGTTAAATAATTAAGATATCCTCGAATCTTCAAAGACCGGCATTTACCGATTTCTGAAAAAGTGGTTGGCGTACTATCATTTATACAATAGTAATAAGTTTTGGAATGCTGCATGCCACAAACTCCCATTTTGTGAACGTAATCCGATGACATTTAAGAACCCAAAAGAAGCCGTTACCACCAAAAGTGTAGCCCACGAAGGTGATATTTGGATGCCATTTAATGTCATGATTCTATCTTAAAAGTGCCGATATGTGGTGTGTTTGAATGCTATGATTTGCAGTTTAATTGCAAGTTGGATGGTGATTGGTGGCTGGTATGGCAGGAGCAGGAATGCAACAAGCGCTTTGAAAAGGATATTTTGGAATTTTCTCACCAAACCGTTTGCAAGATGCACGTCCTTTGGTAAAATCGCTAACATGTTTTCTTAATATGAGGTAAGTTAAGAGCATAGTTGGCATCCTGGACTTCCTGCTCTGCGAGTCTTTGAATGATCTAGTAGAAATAGATGTGCCATCGGTGGTTTTGGTGCTGCTGGTGACTTTCTGGTCCAACGAATATTGTTGTAGGTGTCTGTTGCGACGCGGACCTCCACTGCTCGAAAATGCGCTCGTCAGTTGCAGGAGGCTGAGTTGCCGGTGGTTTCGGGTACGGGAGGCGATGGGTTCGTCGCGTGGTGGGAGCCAGAGCCGTGATATGCTTGTCCGTTTCTTGAAAAGGTATCGGTAGGTGTGTGCGTCGTGGAGAATGCGGTCTTACTTACTCAGGTGCGCCATATATTTTCCCCACAGGTAATGACATGTGAGGTATGTGGCAGTGGTAGGTACTTAAAACAAGCACATTTCATATTTCAGTTTATTTCGTTTCCACATAAGTAACTCACATAAGTTGTCATCACTCTTCAGGAGTTGCATAGGCTTGTACAAGTGCATCTAACCCATATAATACAATGATGAAGGGCATTGACATGAATGCCCAGGATTTGCCAGCTCCTGCAGGATTGCAGATGCTTGTTTCCATTTCTTGGTGCTCCATAGTTTGGTCCCCCCTGGAAATCAAATAAAAGTTATAACTCACTTTATGAAAGCAAGGTTCATGCACCCTTCTGGCTGTCAAGAAAGCAAAACTGCCTGCCTTGGTACTTATACTCAGGCTCATACATTTGCAATGGCATCTGCTTTGTGGGGCGACTGCAGCATTTATCTGGAGTACAAAAATTGTCATTCTTACCAGCCAAGAGCCTGGAGTACAAAATTTCCTGGTGCCACATCCACCAGAAAACGGAGGTTTTTCCCACACTGGTTGAACTGTCAGTATGTTACTCATGTCTGAACCCTCCATCTGAGTAGAGCATAAATGCATTCAGATGGTTGAACTGTCAGTATGTTACCCATGTCTGAGCCCTCCATCTGAGTAGAGAGCATAAATACATTCAGATGGTTGAACTGTCAGTATGTTACCCATGCCTGAGCCCTGTATCTGAGTAGAGTCTCTGTTCTTGGGCTACCATGTAAAATGTTGTTGCTCTGCATGTAGGGCAGTCACCTTGACTGGTCCTGCACCCTGGGTGGCTATGTATTTTGATTCAGAAGTGGTTTGGTCATACTGCAATTCCCCCTGAGGCCCTCATATTTCTCCCAGTTAGGGACACCTGATGTAAGCAGTGGCATATTCCAGGCTTCTGCCTACTTACACCTGGCAGGGCCACCATTTTTACATTAGCAACATTTGACATGCACCTCACATTGTTTTGAGGCTGTTGCTTCCATGAATGTTTGGGGTAATGCTTTATTATCATTTGATTTATATTGGACCACTGATGTTCTGGCTATATCACACTTGCTTTTTTCCAATCCACAGCATATCATGTATGCAGTTTGCAGCTGACTGTCCATTACACTGAGAGGTTGCCAAGTGCCTTGTCAATTAGTTAACAACAACTGCACATGTATTCATCATTTTTCTGATGGGAAGTATATTGCCTCCACTGTCATGCCTTCCATTACATTTATAACCTACCAAAGACCTTTCTTAACAAGTGCACATGTGTTTCTCAAGATAAATGTAAGTGCTCATGCTGGATAGCCAGTATTTTCTTGGCAAAGACATTGGTTGGCATCATGGTGGTCTGGATTACTTGAACAGCTTTTGTGTGCAATCCAATCATAAATTACATTTGTAAACCAATTTGACCAAGCTCCCACTGCCTATCAGCAGTTGGTGCCTCCTCCCTGTACCTATGTCTCATGTAGATGCAGCTGCTGACCACCATCCTTGCTGCAGGCTGTGACGGTGCTGGCCAGCAGGTGCTCGCCATGGAGTCGATCCGGGCGGCGGGCAGTGCCCCGTACTACCCGGCCGTCTCAGTGGAGCTGGAGCGCCAGTCGGGCTCGCCGTACGGTCCGCACGAGCCGCCGCCGCCGCCGCCGCCGCCGGTCACGTACGCGCCGGCCACGGTCCAGCTGGGCCAGCAGGAGGCCTTCCTGCGCGCCGGACACTACACCGTCGTCTCGGCCCGACATGACGAGCTCGTGCACCACGTGAGTAGCCTGCTCGGTGAAACGATGAGGTTGAGACTGGTCGACGCCGAGACATGGAGGCAGGGCATCCGAACACTGCGGGGTGCCGGTAGTGTAGTGGTTAACGTGCCTGCGTTAGCCACTGCACGTCTGGGAGACCACAGGTACGGGGTTCGATTCCCCGCGGTGTCCGCCCTTCCTGCCAGGGTGAGAGACAGGCGACAGGCATCCGAACGCCGGGTGGGTGATGGCTCGCCCGTGCAGGTACATAGCATTGCACGGAAGCTTACTGACCATGCATTATCAGATAGAGATTTACCACAGAATCGCCGTAAAATGTGTCGTGACGTCAGAGGTACGGTGAGATGACGCGGTAGGGCCATGGGCTGATCAGCGGCCGCAGGTCGGCCCGAAGCCGCCTCTGACCCGGGCGGCGTCTGCCAACAGGTCGCCGAGCGGGACGGTGAGCCAACGTTCTGCGTGCAGGCGGTGGCGCCGTTCGTTGCGTCTGGCGCCGAGCTGGAGAAGGTGGCGCCTCACGAGCAGCAGTACCTGATCCCCGAGCTGGGTGGCGCGCCCTACCAGCTCAGCGCCGCCGGCGACGTCTACAAACTGGTGGTGCGCGACGGCAAGCCAGAGGAGGTGGGCGCCGAGCAGCTGGCGGCGCAGTACGGCCAGCTGCAGCTGCCCGAGCCGCTGGCTGCCGCGCCCCAGCTGCCAGACAAGCAGGCACCGCCAGAGTCCCAGCAAGACGCGCAGCAGCACCAGCAACAGCAACAACAGCAGCAACAGCACTGTCTAGTGTGCGACCTGCGGATGGCCAACCACACGGCGCTGGACATTTTCAACAACACGACCCACCAGACGAGCACCACGTACGCCATCAAGCTGCGCCAGGTGACTGGGCACCGCGCCAACTTCACCTATCACTCGGAGGTACTGTGCGAGTCGTGTGCGTCGCTACTCAACGTGGTCGACTCGTTCGAGGCGCGCCTGCGCGAGATCAAAACGCGTCTCGAGGACACGCGCGCCGAGGTTCAGACCAAGTTTGGACGCACCTGCGCCAGGTACGACGACGGTGAGGCGACGGCGGTGCAGTCGCCGCCGCCGGAGGCGCCTCAGCCGCCGGCGCCGGCGCCGGCCGCCGAGGCTGAGAAGGCGGCTGTCGCCCGGGGTCGAAAGCGGCGCGCCGTCGCCGACGAGCAGCCTCAGCAGCCGAGGAAGAAGGCCCGCGCTAAGACGGCGGCGCGCGACGACAACTACAAGGACAGCTCGAGACCGACTGACGCTGAGGAAGGTACGCCGCCGTAACTGGCGGATAGTTTGTGCGGTACGAAGTGAAACGTATCTAAAACGTTTGAATGGATTGGAAAACTTCTAAAGTCATTTGTTTTCGTCTTGTATTTTAGTACATCAAAGTGAGCAGCCTCCGTGGCTCGTGAAAACTGTGCTCAAATTCCACAACTGTAGTTTTGGGCGCAGTCTGCGATGTGGTGTTACCAGAGTTCATTGCCAACCTGCCGGGTCGGGCTGCAGGCCATCAGCGCTGTAATGCGTCCGGGCGGTGTACGCGGCGGGTGCCGGCCGTCCGCTGTATCTCTGTGGGTAGCCGGCGGCCGGCAGCTGACGGCTCGCCTGTCCCGCCTCAGCTCCTGTGACGCGCCGGCGGCCGGCCCGTCCGGCCGGTGTGCGCGGCGGGTGCCGGCCGTCCGCAGCCTTTGTGTCTCTGCGGGTAGCCGGTGACCGGCAGCTGACGACTCGCCTGTCCCGCCTCAGCTCCTGTGACGCGCCGGCGGCCGGCCCGCAAGGCCGTGGACAGGACCCGCCAGCTGATCGAGTCGGACGAGGAGCCGGAGCCGGACCCGGCCGCCTACCTCGAGGTGAGGCCCGGCGCGCCGCACCCGCTGACGGCGCGCCCCACCGGCGTCCGGCCGAGTCATGGGTGCAGGCGCCTCTGCAGGACGGTGTCTATTATGAGTATGCGTATCTTTGCAATATATGAAACTATTCAGCGAGCAAATCTACGGCGGTAATTCAGCTCGGATATTCAAGTGAGTTGGCACAGACTAGTAAGTATAACCTAGTGTTAGTATCTTGTGCGGTACCTAGAGAAGGGATAATTTCAACAACAGAGACCAGCTTCCATGGACATTTGATCCACAAAGCATCATCTGCGCGCTGCGCCTGTTTGCGCATTTACAAGAAACAATTTTGTGGTGGAGACCGTAGCGCCCTGCCGAGCCCCTGGACGGCGCTGGCGTTCACCGCCCGGTCGCTGCGCGGGCCTGTGGCGCCATGGTCGGCGCCGAACCTGCGTGCGATGTCGGTGCGGGCCGACGGTCTGGCGGTGTCAGCAGGCCTGGCGCGCCTGTCCATCGCTCGCTGATGTTGGCTTGTGTGTGTGCCAGCTGGCGGACGCCATGAAGCTGGAGGACGAGGCCGAGGCGGAGGAGGAGGACGCGCTGCCGCCGCACGCCGCCGAGCTCGCCGAGACGCGACCGATCCGCGTGGCCAACATGTGCCCCGACTGCGGCCGGCTCTTCATCAACCCGATGGTGCTGCGCGTCCACCAGCTGGCGCACATGCCGGCGCCACCGCCGCCGCCGCCGCAGCCGACGGCCGCCGACTTTATCCCCGTGCTGGAGCTGGACAGCTACGGCAGCGGCGCCGATGACGTGCTGGCGCAAGCCGTGCAGCAGATGAACAGTCCGGCGGGGCCGGGTAGCCCGACGCCGCCGCCGGCGCCGCCGGCCGCCGACGAGGAGGCGCCCGACGAGGAGGAGGCCGCGGCAGCCGCTGCCGCCGAGGAGGCAGCCGCTGCCGACGGCGTGCAGGACGTCTACAAGTGCGACTCGTGCCCGGCCCTCTTCAAAACGGTGCAGGGCTTGCAGAAGCACCACCGCAAGGTGCACTCGTTGTCGGTGTGGCGCTGCTTCGTCTGCTGGCAGGCGGTGGACAGCCTGCGCCGGCTCAAGCGACACGTGGCCACGCATGGCGAGAAGAACAGCTGCGCCGTCTGCCTGCAGCCGTTCGACTCCAAGATGCTGCTCAAGCTACACGTGACGCGCAAACACCCGGAGACGCAGACCAAGAACAACTACTGCGAACTGTGTAACAAGCACTTCGACAACCAGGGCTTCCTGGAGCACGCGCGCGGCGTGCATGGCGTGGGCGGCGACCCGGCGCGCCGCTTCAAGTGTGCCCAGTGCGGTAAGGTGCTGCTGAACAGCGTGTGCTACCTGCGCCATGTCAAGGTGCACAAGAAGGATTTCAACTGCCAGTACTGCGGCAAGTCGTTCAACAGCCGCACCAACCTGGACAACCACGAGCGCACGCACACGGGCGAGAAGCCCTACTTCTGCCCCGACTGCGAGCGCACGTTCACGTCCAAGCAAGTGCGCGACATCCACATCCGCACGTTCCACCGGCAGAACCCGTACGCATGCAAGCGGTGCAACCGGCGCTGCGAGTCGAAGGCGTCGTTCATCCGGCACATGCGCTCGCACGCCGGCGTCACGCCGTTCGAGTGCACCGTCTGCTGCAAGAAGATGACGACCGAGTACTCTCTGAAGATGCATATCCGCGCCATCCACGACCGCAAGCTGCCGTTCAAGTGCGACGTCTGCCAGAAGGCGTTCCCGTACAAGTCATCGCTGACGCTACATATGAACACGCACTCGGGCGACAAGCTGCACATCTGCGACATGTGCGGCAAATGCTTCGCGTCACGCGGCTCGCTGCGCACGCACATGCACACGCACAGTGCCGACAAGCCGTACAAGTGCGAGTGGTGCGACCGCAGCTTCTCGCGCAAGGACCTGCTGGCCGGCCACAAGCTGCAGATCCACGGCATCCAGCCCGAGATGAAGTATTCGCGACTGAGCAAACACTGAGCCGGGCCGGCCCGGCTCACGGCTGTGAATTAAGGCAGCGCCGCCGCCGTGTGGTGGCGGCGCGGGGCGAGCCGCTGCCGCCGCCTCTGCTCGGCGTGGCCCCCGCCTGTCGCGGCAGCTGGTCCCACTGCGCGGCCCTGCGGCGCGCGCGGGGTGGAGACGGAATCTGAGGCGCGCGTGGCCGCCCGGTCACGGAGACCAGCTGCCTTGCCTTGTCGAGCGTTTCATTTTACTGTGTGGAGGTGATCCGGAGGACGTTGTGAGGTCGGTGAAAGGTTCGCTGCAGCATGGAACTTTTTCCATCCCTCATCTCTTGCCCCCCTTCAAGTCACGCCTGCTACGTCTGCTGAGCGTCGTTGGTGAGCAGTTTGTGAGAAACTGGTCAGGAAAGGCTCCCTATGCGAACAAGTCCGATACTGGCTGGACACTGATCTGTGCTCAGGTTGTGAGCGATGTAGACTAGTATCCCAGGCTATTTTTTCAGTGGGGTTGTTAGTGAAGGGACTATACGGGGATAGTGCAACATTGGCGTTCGCTCATAGTGGTTGTAAGGGCTAGTACATTATCTGTCAGCCAATCAGCGTTGTATCCGTGCCGGATGAGGTTGATTGTCAAGCGAGTGAACAATCAGGTGCTCCGGTTTCGATACGCATTTGAGAATAAAGTCTGCTTGTTTTTTTTTTTCTCACCGCATGTCATTTTGAAAGAAACCTGTAGCTGGCGCATATATTGTGAAGGACCCCTTTAACCGCGTAAGCTAGTATTCCGTCTGGCTCCGGGATAGGCCGGCGCGGCTTGGCGGCTGTGGTCTCGCACCCCCACTGCCCGGCCTGGGGTCAGAGCTCCGGCATATGATCAAACTCCCTGTGGGAACTATCCCGACCCATGAGGATGGCCTATGACACCTTGGTTTCGCATTTGTGTGGCCCGCTCGGCCGCGAACCGACCGGCGTAGTGATTTATAATGTGTAAATGCCGCGTCGCTGTCGGGCCGTGTGTACGCTGTTCACATCGCGACGGTTTGTGGTCTGTTTTCCGTGACAGCAGACCATTGTCCATGTTTTTGCCATGGGTCATTCTTCTGGCCGGACTTGGTTCGTTTTTGGATGTGTCGTTTGTAACGAGGCGGCGCGGTGCAGTGTACTGTGAAATATACAATGAAATGAATGAATGAAACGCCATGGTGTCATGGCTTTGCAAATGCAGTCGGTAGTGAACGCGGTGAGACGCCATAGGCCGTCATCAGACGGCGCCTCCCCAACTTTCTGTCGTGAGGTGGAGAAAGCGGTGTCCCTGTTGACATGAATGGCTGGTGCCGTCGATACAGCCGATATCCCTGAGGATAGCTGGACCAGTGTTATACAGACGGGCGCTCGCTGTGGTGCGCCTGCACATGGGAAGACGCTCTGGCCAGCGGCATGGCGGGCTGACGTCCTTCAAATGCCGGTCGATTGTAACGCGGGTCACCACCATCCGCCGATTCGAATGACTCATTCCAAATTCACACGATTCCTTTATCCGTTCATCTCATTCACTCATCTCCCATCCATGTCATGCATGCCTTGCACATTCAACCATCAGTGAATCATTCATTGATTCATCCCTGACCCGAAACGGGCCGATCTTATGTGTGACGACTCACCCAGTCCGACGAAAGCCTCGGGACATGTTCTAGAACAGCTCGGGCGTTGCCAAGTCATCCACAGAAATGTGCGGCATGCGTGTTTGATCTGCGCAGTGTCGGCCTCTGACGCAGCGACCACCGACCCACGTGGAGCTGACCGAGGTGCACGTCTAGATTCTGACGCACTGAGCTGACCTCCCAATCTATGCTGCGCTTTGCTGCTGAGCTAACGTTTCTTACTGGTAAGCAGTATATTAAGGATCGCTATTTCAAAAGTCAGTAACTGTTGTGAGTGCTGGGACTGACCCATACAACAGTTCTCTGCCCTTCCAACAGTCTGTGGTTGTTGCAACAGTTTTCTGCCACCTCAACAGTCAGTCTCAACTCGGATCTGCTGATGTGCTCAGGTCCTGTTGCTGCTGCCTGCTGAGCTGCCGTCTCTGGTGGTCAGGCCGCCACGCCGTGCTGATATCCGCGGCCCGTTTCAGGGCGGCAGCTCGTCCGGTGACGGCGGCGAGGACCCGGCCCGGCGACGAACGCGCGTGCTCAACCGCTGTCCCGAGTGTCACGTGGTGCACGACAACCTGCACGCCTTCCGCGTCCACCTGGCAGCGCACGCCTCGCTCGCCGCCGACGTCGTGGCCGACCACATGACGCTCAAGACGCACGAGCGTCTGGCGTACGCCTGCAGCAGGTGCGTGCCGCGGCCGCAGCACCGCCCGGACGGCGCCGGCCGGCCCGGTTGCGGCTGACTGGCCGGGAGACGCTGGCTGCCGCCGGCATGGAAGCGTTCCCAAGTCGGGAGGGACGGTACTTTGGTTATTTCTTTGGTAGGGACTTTGGTTATTTCTTTACGGTCGACGGTCACGGGCCAATGGTAGGTTTTCAAATAGTTTGAGTCTCAGACCCCGCCCTCGGTTCCGCACCCCTGCTGGCAGGTGTGAGGTCTGTAACAGAGGACATACGCGACGCCCTCACTTGCAGGTAGAAATGTGTAGATTGTTGTTCGGGCGTGAGGACGTGTTGTGTGTCTTGTCATTTTGCTCTTGCTGGTATCTGCATTACGTGTGGCGGCTCACTTGATATTCGCTGTTAGAAACGTACGTAGGGTGCACAGTATGACAGGCGTGGCAATGGTCGCACCGATCTCTCCAACATGTGCGCGTTCGGAAGAATATCCGTTGACAGATGATCGTTTTGGCAGCTCCGCCGCACGAACCGTTTGGAACATTCCCCACCCACGTCTGCTGGGCAGTTCAATACTCAGCTGTACGCACTGAAGCCCTTTGGCCATCTAGCTCGGGATTTCGCAAACCCCGGGGGTCACATCCACCTCCCGCCCCCTGGGACGGTGTACATGATTAGTGGGCAAGAAGCTGCCACTTCCCCCCCCCCCCCCCCGACAGACTGTAGCTCCCTGACCTCGTCCTCGACAGACTGCGGCTCCCTGACCCAGTCCCCGACAGACTGCGGCTCCCTAACTCCAACCCCAATAGACCTCAGCTGCTGCCGCGCTGCCCTCACCGCCCGCCGGCCCCGCCAGGTGTCCAGCCACGTTCTTTGTGTACCGGGAGCAGCAGCGCCACGTGCGCTCGCGCCACCCGCGCTTCAGCCGCTGCCCAGCGTGCCTGACCCAGGTGGAGGAGACGCCCGGCCTAATGGCGGCCCACCAGCAGACGCACGCGGCGTTCAACCGGTGCTCGTTCTGCCCGCTGGTGGCGCACACTCTGGAGGAGCTGAGCCGGCACACGGCCGCGCAGCACCCGCTGGCGCTGCGCAGCCTCTACTGCGAGCTGTGCCGCGCCTTCGTCGACGAGGCCGCCTTCGCCGGCCACGTGCGCGCCGAGCACGGCCACGTGCCCGAGCTGTGCGTGCAGTGCCGCGTGTGCGGCGACGTGCTGAAGCGACCGGCGTTGGCCGCCCACGTGCGCGTGCACGAGGCCAGCTTCCGCTGCCAGTACTGCAGCCGCTCGTTCCCCAGCAGCGGCACACTGGTGGTGCACGAGCGCACGCACACGGGCGAGCGGCCGTTCTCGTGCGCGCAGTGCTCCAAGCCGTACATCTCGAAGGCCACGCTGGACGCGCACGTAGCGGCGTTCCACCGTGTGAACAAGTTCGAGTGCTCCGAGTGCGAGCGCACGTACCCGAGCGAGTCGCGTCTAAAGCGGCACCAGGTGACGCACGGCGACACCAAGCCGTTCACCTGCCAGGTCTGCCAGAAGGGCTTCAGCCTCGAGAACCACCTGAACCTGCACGTGCGCGCCATCCACTTGGGCGAGACGCCGCACGAGTGTCACGTGTGTCACAAACGCTTCCCGTACAAGTCGTCGCTCAAAGACCACTTGCACGTGCACACGGGCGACAAGTCGTTCTGCTGTCATACGTGCGGCAAGCGCTTCCGCACGGCCAAGATCCTGCGCTCGCACTCGTACACGCACAGCAAGGAGAAGCCGTACAAGTGCGACGTGCGCCAGTGCGGCGCGAGCTTCTCGCGCAAGGACCTGCTGGCACGACACCGACTTACGGGGCACGGCATTGCGCCGGCCGTGCAGTACAGCCGGCTGCAGGGCCGGCCGACAGCGCCGCCGCAGCCACCACCTCCCCCTCCTCCGGCGCCGCCGCCGCCGCCGCCGGCGCCCGTGCAGTACGTGCTGTACCAGGCGGCGCGGCCGCCGGAGCCGCCGGCTGGCTACGCGGACTGTGACGGCTCTGGAGGGAGCGGACCTTGATCGGCGGCCATTGCAGCCGTCCACGGCCGTCCGTCGGCTCCACCGTCCGCTGCGCCGCGCTCACGGCCTGCAGAATATCGCCCGTTGTGACGCGTGATTCAGCTGCTCGACCTGCCGCCTGCGCCATGCATTAGCATCTTTTTGGTACAATGCGCTGCGATTTGGTACGTTTGTTGTTTTGGTGGAGGTCGGTGGACAGAGGTGCTTCGCGCTGTTACAAGCGATCACGTGATCTAGTCCTTGGGTATGTCCCGAGACACGCTGTTCGTGGATCACCGTGTACGGAAGTTCGTGCCATTGGTATTCGTCACGATGTCATGCGGGGACTCTCCGGGGCATGGGTTTCCTATTGGAAGCCATTCTCGCACTGAGCGGGTTGGGCGCCTGAGGAATGCTCTGTAGCACCGCCGTCCATCAGCCGTCAATGTATTTCGCTCAAGAAACGTGACGTAATACCACTGGTTTTGAAAGGCGCATCTCTCTC